CCTCACAACACATAGAAGAATCCACAGTGGAGAGCGGCCCTATAAATGTAAAGAATGTGGGAAAGCTTTTCCCCGAGCGACAAACCTCAGAACACATAGAAGAATCCACAGTGGAGAGAGGCCCTATGAATGTAAGGAATGTGGGAAAGCCTTTCTCCGAGTGACAAACCTCATAACACATAGAAGACTCCACAGTGGAGAGAGGCCCTATGAATGTAAGGAATGTGGGAAAGCCTTTCTCCGAGTGACAAACCTCATAACACATAAAAGACTCCACAGTGGAGAGAGGCCCTATGAATGTAAGGAATGTGGGAAAGCCTTTATTCAATTAGCACACCTCATAAGACATAGAAGAATCCACAGTGGACAGAGACCCCATGAATGCAAGGATTGTGGGAAATCCTTTCATCGACTCTCAGCCCTCATAACACATAGAAGAATCCACAGTGGAGAGAGGCCGTATGAATGTAAGGAGTGTAGGAAATTCTTTACTCAATCGTCAAACCTCACAAGACATAGAAGAATCCACAGTGGTGAGAGGCCCTATGAATGTAAGGAGTGTGGGAAATTTTTTAATCAATGGTCAAACCTCACAACACATAGAAGAATCCACAGTGGAGAGAGACCTTATAAATGTAAAGTATGTGGGAAAGTCTTTGGTAGGTACTCATCCCTCTGTAAACATATGCAAACTCACAATGGGGAGAGGCCCAATGAATGTAAGGAGTGTGGGATGGCCTTTAGGGATTCCTCACACCACATTACACATGTGCAGACTCACAGTGGAGACCCGATTTAATGAGTGTACACAGTGTGGGAAAGCGTTCAGGCAGCCCTCAATCCTCACTAGACATAGAAGAAGCCACATTGGAAAGAGGCCATATGAATGTCAACAGTGTGTAAAAGTGTTTGTTTATGCATCATCCCGCATTGTACATATGATATATCATAGTGGAGAAATTCACTATGAGTATAAGGAATATGGAGAAACCAATCCTAGTTGTCCATCCCTCACTAAACAAGTGACCTCATCGTTAGTTAGCAGAGGTTTTATGAATGTAGCCAACTTGGGAAAGTGTATGTTTGTTACTCAGACCTCACTTCATATTTAAGGATGCACAGTGGAGAGGAATGTAAAATTAATGTAAAGAACCATTCATGATCCCACAAAAGTTGCCATGATCCCAAAAGGGAAAGAACCCTTATCGATGTAACAAATGCGGCAAAGGGTTTAGATGCTTATCACATTACAATAGAGGAGCTCTGCTCACTGAAGAGATGGTCGTTGTGAGTGTGAGGAATGTGGGGAAGCTGATACTTCCACTGGTGTATCACAACTCAAGAATTTAGAGGTTGTGTCAGAGACTGGATGTTCCATCCACACTGTGATCATGGGACTCTGCTATGAAACACAGCGCTGAATGTGAGGAGAGATTCTCGGTGACACGTGA